GCTCCACAACAAGAGAAGCCACCGCAATGAGAAGCCCGCGCACCACAACAAAGAGTAGCCCCCGCTCACTGCAACTAGAGAAAGCTCATGCGCAGCAACGAAGACCCAACGCAGCCAAAGAAAAACCCCCAACCCCCCCCGAAACAAACAAAAAAACCCCCAAAAAACAAAAGAAAGAAAAAAAACCCAAAAAACAAAACAGAAGAAATAAAAAACCAAAAACCAAACCAAAACAAACAAAAAAGCCATGGGAGCCAGAAGATTACAAAATTTTTCAAATGCTAGAAAAAAAGGACCACAAACTGTAAATTTTATATCTGATGAAATTATCCTTCAGGAATGGAGAAGTAAAGAAAACCTCAGATGCAGAAAAACTAAGAATTTGTTGCCAGCAGACCTACCCTTAAAGAACTGGTAGAGGAAACTCTCCAACACAAAGGAAATAGCAGAAGAAGGCTTGGAACTTCAGAAAGGAAAGAACACAACAGAATGGGTAAAAACAGAGTAAATTCATTACACTATCTTTCTCTTCATTAGTTTCTTAAACCATATTTGATGGTTAAATCAAAATTTATAAAACCATCTGTAATAGTGTTCAATGTATATAGAGGAAATACATAAAATAATCATATTTTTAAAGTGGGGGAGGGTAAAGGGACCTACATGAAAGTAAGATTTCAATACTTATTTCTAGTGTTAAAACATTGATACCAGTAGATGGTGATGTTACATATGTATACTGTAATAGAGTGACCACAAAGAAACTATACAAAGAGATAAACTCAGAAACACTATAAACAAGAACAGAATTCTAAAACTGTTCCATTTACCCACAGGAAGGCAAGAGGAGATAAGAAATTGAGAAACAGAAGGATCAAACAGGAAACAAGAGATTGGAAAATCTGTAAGTTATGTGGCTACTTCCTCAGTGGTAATAGCAATATAATATAGAACTGCAGTAGTATGCTGTTTGACAAATGTAACTAGATCCCAGGCTCTACTTTTTAGATTTGTCGGAATTTCACAGAAACTCTAACAACTCTGTAGCTGCTGTTCAGCAACAGGTTCAATTCTGCTCAATGAAGATGTATTTAAAATACAGGAAACAGGGCTTCCCTGGTGACGCAGTGGTTGAGAGTCCGCCTGCCGATGCAGGGGACACGGGTTCGTGCCCCGGTCTGGGAAGATCCCACATGCCGTGGAGCGGCTGGGCCCGTGAGCCATGGCCGCTGAGCCTGCGCGTCCGGAGCCTGTGCTCCACAACGGGAGAGGCCACAACAGTGAGAGGCCCGCGTACCGCAAAAAAAAAAAAATACAGGAAACAGAAAAGCTTCTAGTCACCTACTATTAACTTCTTTAAGCATTTAAATATTTTCTTGATTATTTTATTATTTTCTTATACACACCTTAATTTTCTATCCTTTATAATGTGATTCTTTTTTTTTTTTTAAAGCAGATTTACATAGACTTTTTTTTTTTTGCGGCACGCGGGCCTCTCACTGTGTGGCCTCTCCCGTTGCGGAGCACAGGCTCCGGACGCACAGGCTCAGTGGCCATGGCTCATGGGCCTAGCCGCTCCGCGGCATGTGGGATCTTCCCGGACTGGGGCACGAACCTGTGTCCCCTGCATCGGCAGGCGGACTCTCAACCACTGCGCCACCAGGGAAGCCCAGACTTTATTTTTTAATTTAAATTTATTTATTTATTTTTGGCTGTGTTGGGTCTTCATTTCTGTGCGAGGGCTTTCTCTAGTTGCGGCAAGTGGGGGCCACTCTTCATTGTGGTGCGCGGGCCTCTCACTATCGCGGCCTCGCTTGTTGCGCAGCACAGGCTCCAGACGTGTAGGCTCAGTAGCTGTGGCTCATGGGCCCAGTTGCTCCGCAGCATGTGGGATCTTCCCAGGCCAGGGCTCGACCCCATGTCCCCTGCATTGGTAGGCAGATTCTCAACCACTGCGCCACCAGGGAAGCCCTATAACTTGATTCTTAATAGAAATTTTTATGAGTTGTTGGTTTGACATCCTCATTTGTATTTGCATACTCAGGAAAAATTCAGAGGCTTCAGAATGGTGTTTGTTAACAGACAGCTGTTAACAAAATGTAATTTTTAATATGCCTATTGGGGACCTCACATACAGTTTGGCTCTCGATCAAGAGTCCACTATATACATATACAAGAAGTACAAAAGAACAGATGCTCTGCCACAAGATTAGAATCAATGAGCTGAAGTCCTGTTGTATTTTTTACTCCTCTTATTTATTTATTTGAGGGGGGAGTTGTCTTTGTGTGCTTTGTCCCTCAGACTTTTTTCATCCTTCTTTACTGGTGCTCATTTGTTTTCTAGACTTTGGCCTAAGCGGTACCAAGGTAAATACAGGCTCTATCTTTATTTTTTCTGTATCTTCAGTTTATATCATACTTCGACATGTGCTTGCCTCTGTCCTGGTCCAAGCTTCTGGTTCTATCAGCCTGATCCCAAATGACCTCAGGTCTTGGTATGATAATCCCACAATTTCTTCAGAGACCAAGAATATTATTCTTCCTTTTGTGTATTTAAAATTATTGTGATTTTTACCTGTTAGCAATATGTAGATATTTTTCAGTTTCAGTAAACTCTGTGAAACTCAAAACCAAAATCATGCTTATTATTATCTCTTGCTATTCCATTAAATGGTATAAAAATTCAAGGAGAGTTATAATTTTCAAAGGTCTAAGCAAATGTCATACAAGTAAGACATTATGCGATAATTTTTTTCCTGGAAGAAGGAAGTTAATTAGGAAAATGAAAAATTGTTGATTGGAAGAATCTTTTGTGCTGTATTTCATTAAAAAGTACACTATAAGTGTCAGTTTGGGAAGATGAGAATGTTCTGGAGGCAGATGGTGATGACGGTTGCACAAGGCAAATGTATTGTACTTAATGTACACTTAAAAATGGTTAAAATGGTAAATCTTGTATTATGTATATATTACCACATAAAAAACGTATACCAGTAAATTACACTACTTTTAAAGATTCATATTAAAACATACTCCTTCATTTTAAGCTAAGTGACACTCTCATTTCTTAAAATATTCATGTAATAAACATTCTTCAGAAACTCAGTTTGTGTTCTAAATTGCTTAACAAATTGCTTGAGCTTCTCTACTACAGGATCGGTTGGAGAAAGGCACAGAACGTGGTGTTAGTAAAAGTAAAAACATCTTCTTTAGCCAATGGTATTGGGTCTTCTTGTTTACAAAACCATCATACGAAACACGCTTTCAACGAGTTTGAAAAATGGAGTCTCAACTGATGCCTCTAAAACTGGAGATTTAGATTACAAATGGCTCCACAAAACTGAAATCTTGAGGGCAAGGATGTTTTAGTAATGGTGCAATTGCCAGAACCAGGCAATAGATGGCATTTTTGTAGGCACCCAGGGCTTTTGGAATAAAATATCTCGTAGATTCCCACCTTGAATCTCGTCTGTGTGTATAAATATGAAGCTAGCTCTTTGGTTTTCTCTACTTTCCAGGCTAAATCTCACTACCAGATGTCCAAGTTAATTTTAGTTTGGCATCTTATCTAAAATGATCCTCCAAAATGTGTAGTAGTAGTAGTAATAACAATAATGATAATACCCAAATTGACTCTAACATCACAAAGAGAGAAAGTTCTAGGAAGAACCTCACGGATGGAAGTCTAAAATTGGGAGTCATCAGCAAACAGGAATATTTCAAGTCATGAGTCTAGATGAAAATAAACATGGAAATCAACGTTTAGGGGTACAGAAGCAGAGCATGGTTTGGAATAGTTCTCCAACAAGGAATATCCTATCCTCTTGTGCTTTCACCAGGCTTCACTTTGCCAAAACAGATCTATCCCATTCTTCAATAACTCGACCTAATTACCACATTTCCTCGATTCTAACTTGTACTTTTTTAGTATTACTATCATTGAAAATCAAAGTCCTGTCCTCCCCTCCCCCTTTTCTCCCTCTCCCCACCTCGGAACACCTGCTATTAAATTGATGGCCCATTTTACAATTGAGAAAATAAATGCACTAGCTACACGTGATTTTGCCTACAGGGTAAAAACTTCCAGCTCTACAGCCTGAAACTTCTCTTGCAAAGGGCTTTTTCAGGTAGTATCCTACTGGTCGTCCCAAATCTGTGGGAGTAATGGGGAGGAGGGCTAACCCATCACCCCGCCATCCCCCCCCCCTTTTTTTTTCCTTCAGAGAAGAGGTTAGACACAAGGCGGCTGTAGCCGCTTGTCTGAAGTCTGTAGCGGAATCACAAACCCAGAGCCAGGTTCTCCTGCACCAATCCTAAACTGGATTCTTAAACTGACAAAAGTTTGCGATGTGCCCCCCTTCAACCCGATCCGTAGCAGAGCAGAGACCAGCACAGCTACCCTATGGAACGCTTCTGGCCTCACCCTAAGTCCCCAAGGTCAACGCCCACAGCATATTCTTGCCCCAACCGTCTGACTCTGGCTCTGATCGCTTACGGGTAGTTCTCATCCACTGGAGCAGAGCTGGGAGGTCTGCTGGAGCCACCGTACGGAGTAGCTGCAGTACTGCTTGCCGAGCTGAGCGGAATTCCATGTTGGAGGAAAAAGCAGAGCAGGGGAAGGTTCGCACTGCGCACGCGTAGGCGTAGGCAGAGGCGGGTCCAGACACCTGATTCGAGCCGGGGTGGAACCCGCCTCCCTTGGCTGCTAAAGTCCTAAGCTCCGCCCCCTCTTTGGAGTTCTCACTTGCTCCCGGGAATTCCTACACGCAGTCATCCCTACACCCCCATCTCTCTCCGCTGGTGGGGCTCAGCCAAGTCATTTTTTCTTAAGGTGGCGCCTGGAGGCTGGACTTCTTTCCTGAGATCGCATCCCTAGAGAGCTTCCTATCTTAATACTAACTTTAATGCCGCAGTTATTGAGCGAGAGAAAACGAATGTCAAAAGCCAGTCAAAGCAAAGAAACATCTCAATAAACCCTTTCGGTAAACGCACTGAAGGAACGCGGCGGGTGCCCCGGAAGCGGAAGTGTATCCTCTTCATGAAAGGCTGGACTACGCCGTGTGGTGACGTTACCACATAGGGCGGAAGGTTCGGTGGCAGTCATCGGTCTTCCAGCTGGTGGGAGTTGGCGTCGCGGTGCTGGGCGCTGGGGCCCTAGTTTATGTGGGGTAGCACCTGTCTGTCTGACCCCCGCTTTCGTTGTTTTCCTCCCACGGCGTGGGGCTTCGCGAAGGACTCCCCGGCCCGTTTGGGTCACGGCTGTAGCGGTACCTTTTGCGGTAAGTGTCTGCTTTTTCCCGCTCAACACTACCGACTAGCAGCTAGGGGCAGCCCTAACCCTGCTTAGGGGGCTAGACACGGCGTCCTTGGCCACCGGCTGTCGTCACCGAGACGGAGGTGCGCTGGCCCTTTTTCATCTCGTGTCTCCCATCAGAAGTTTTATTAAAAGATGCGCTTGTGACCCTTTTAAAATTGTCTTCAGATTTACCCGAGCCAAATTAAACGTAAGCAGTTGCAGGCTTGACTTTGTTTTGCTGTCGTGATCAAGGATTTAGATGTGGCTACTTCTCCGAAAATCTTTTGACTTGTACCAGATTTTATTTTTACATGTTAACTTGTGACTAATTAACACATTGTTCCGCCGATAGTAGACTTTCAAAAATGAATAAGGGATACCAGTTCAGTGCCGTTGACGACTTAAGGTATACTGATGGCTCTTTCCGTAGCATTTGGTGGTGCTAACCATTTCCTGAAGCTCTTTCGCCTATTGGCGTCCTGGATGCTATTATCACCTAGTTCTTTCATATGCTTCATTCAACAAAATATTTACTCATTCTTAGCTATAGTGATACAGAAATTAATGACATGAACCCTGGCACTGAAGAGCTAACAGTACGGTGAGAGAGAGGCAGATAAATATACATCACACCAAGATGAGTAATGAAAAATTCTAGTAAGGCATAAAGAGCCATGAGAGCTGTGGGAACACAGATGACAGTGTGCTACTTAAGGAGATTTGTGACCCTGAGCAAGTTGTTATTCTGATCTAGCCTCAGTTTCCTCATCTACCTAATAAGCTTAGTATGAGGATGAAAGATTAGGTAAGGTGTTTGGTACAGTGCCCAGAATACAGCAGTGGTGGTGCCAAAGGGGAGGGGAAATATTTCCCTCAAACCTCTTTCCTTTGATTTTTTGATCTGATCAATTAGTATTTTCCAACCGAATATGAAGTACTGTGCAAAAACATCTTCAAGCCCTCCTTCAAAGTGATTACTCCTGTAACTCCACCTGTCTAGAAATTCTGGACCTGCCACTGGAATACAGTAAGATACCCATTAAGTGGTCGCTTTTCTTTGTTTTCAATTGATTTGCTTCTGAATGCCTTCGGAGAGGGAAAGGGAATTAGTAAAAGCTTCTATCCTTTTGATTATGCTCAGTCTTAGGTGACTTTCTCCTTTTGGTTGGCCCTTCACCATGGCTCTAACCCAAATGCTCTCATCTACTTCCATGGTATTATCCTGGTATGCCAACCATTTCCACATCTTTTTCTCTAGCCTCTGTTTCATGAAATAGTTCTTTAGTTTCCGCAAATTCAATAGGTCTAAAACCAAACTCACTCTCTCCACCTTCCTTTTTTTCCCTTTCTAAATGACATACGTCCTACGCACAAAAGTGCGTAAAAGCAGGGATTCCTAGTGTATCTTTGAGTTTTGGCCCCATGTTTTAGTTGAATTTTGTGATATTTGTTTGTTCAGTTTTTAAAAGGATAATAAAATGCACACTCAATATCCAACCTAGTAGAAGAACATTACAAATAACCTTTAAAGCCCCTTGAATCATTTCTCTATTAACCCTTTTTTTTTTTTTTTTTTTTTTGAAGTACGCGGGCCTCTCACTGTTGTGGCCTCTCCCGTTGCGGAGCACAGGCTCCGGACGCGCAGGCTCAGCGGCCATGGCTCACGGGCCCAGCCGCTCCGCAGCACGTGGGATTTTCCAGGACCGGGGCACGAACCCGTGTCCCCTGCATTGGTAGGCGGACTCTCAACCACTGCGCCACCAGGGAAGCCCTCTGTATTAACTCTTTAACTTTCAAACCAGCTTCTCTTTTTGCCTTCCATTCATTGGTTAATGGCATCACTAGCCACCTGGTTAGTCAAACTAGAGGCCTTAGAGTCATTTTTGCCTCTGTTTCTCTTTCATTCTCCATAACCATTTGGTCATTAGGTCCTATAAATTCTGCTTTATGGTTAGCCCTTGGCTTGAGCCCCTTCCCCTCATGTTCTTCAAGCCCACATCTCTTGAATAGACTTTTGGAGTATGCTTAGTGTATATAGTCTCCTTGCTCTCCCTTCAATGCATCTGCTACATTATCTCTAATTTTTAAATTATAGAACAGGTGTTTCATTCTCTTGTTTCCCTTGAGGAGTGTTGCTTCATGCAGTGATTATTAACCCTGGCTGCACATCAGTATAGCCAGTGAAGTGTTTCAAAACGTAGATGCCTTGTTTTGCTCTCCTAATCATGAATTTAGATGAGGCCACTTCCCCCATAATCTTGTGATGTTACCATCCCTAGAGATTCTAATTGAGTATTTAATTTTTAGCTGACAGGTGTTAGCTGAATGTCACTGAAATTACCCATCGCTTGGGCATATGCCTCATCCCTCCTCATCCATATTTTCAGTCTGTGTTTATTTCAACTTCAAGGCAAACTATTTCCAAGGAATTCTTTTGACTTTGTTTTAATTTTCCTCTTGGTAACAGTTTACATAAAGATTCTTTTTATGAATGACTTGAGAGCCAAAAAGTATCTTAAAGAATTGATTCCCAGTGTTTTTGAGTTATTACGCATTGTTGCTTATTGAATTTTTTGGTATACCTTTTAATATTAAAATGAGTTTTAAATTCGAAAACAATTATTTTAATAAAGAGAATATTTCCTGATACTACTTTGGTGCGAAATAAGGCAGGGAAGTCAGTGGTGGTATGATGCATAATTTATCTTCTGAAATTAACAGAGGAGTCTTGTCTTTGTTAACTTGATGTAATTTATTGATTTGGAGTTAGAACTTTTCTCATGCTGGTACAATTCCTGGAGCACATAGTAGGTGTTTAATGAGTGACTAAAATGAATAAAAGTCACAACTCCATCTCAACCTCTAGTATAATATCATTCTAATTCTCACAGAGCATTTTGAAAAATAATTAATTTTCCCCTTAACAAAAAATAATAGTCATTACCAAAAACTTGAAAATTGCAAAAAGATATAAATTAGAAAATAAAAATTACTAGTTATTCACGATCCAGAGGTGACAAATATTATTATTTTCTAAAAGTTTTACTGAAATAAAATTAACATACCATACAGCTCACCTAAAGGGTACAATTCAGTGGTCTATAGTGTATTTGCAGAGCTATACAACCATCACCACCATCAATTTTAGAACATTTTCATCACTCCATGAAGAAACTCCATACCCACTAACACTCACTCCTCATTTTCCCCGTTTCCCAGGCCCTAAGCAACTATTAATCCACTTTACTTCTTTACAGATTTTTCTCTTCTGGACATTTCATATAAGTAGAATCATGTATATTCTTTTGTCACTGGTTTCTTTCATTTAGCATAACACTTTCAAGATTCATCCATGTTGCAGCATGTGTCAGTACTTCATCTCTTTTTATTATCAAATAATATTCCATTTGGTGGGTATACCACATTTTATTTATCCACTCATCAGTTGAGGGATATTTGGCTCTTTTTCACTTTTTGGCTAGTATGAATAATATTGCTAATGACCATTCAAGTACAATTCTTTGTGTGAATGTGTGTCTTCCTTTTTCTCACATGTACCTAGGAGTGGAATTGCTGGGTCATATAGTAACTCTGTGTTTAAAATTTGGAGGAATTGCCAGACTTCCAAAGGGCTGTACCATTTTACATTCTCACCAGCAGTGTACGAGGGTCTGATTTCTCCATGTTCTCACCAACAGTTGTTATTATAGCTATCTCAGTGTGGGTCAAGTGGTGTCTGATTGTGCCTTTGATTTACAATTCCTTCGTGGCTAATGCCGTTTTTTGGATATTAGTTTATACAAAATACAATATATGCAGTTTTGTAATCTGGGTTTTGCGTATAAGCATACTTTTAGCGTTAGCAAGCGTATTTACAAAAGATTTTCCCTCATTTCTTCTTTCCTCTTCATTCCCCCCAAACCATAATTCTTATGACAATTTGCCTAAATTATATGCATAAAAAATAAAATCTATAGGAATGTATTCCAAAGTATTATTGGTGGTTATCAGGGGGCAAAAGAGGGGGTAGGGTTAGGGGAATTATATTTCTACCTTTAATGTTTCTGTAATGTTTGAATTTTTATAACAAATGTGTATCCTTTTGTAATCACAAAACATAAAAGTGAATTATTTCTTTAGAGGACTAAGTATATTCACAATGAAAAAATATTCCTAAATTTAAAGTCATTAACATTATATTAGTTATTCAGGTATAATCATTTTACCAAATAAAATACCAATAGTCCACTTTGTTAAATAGTTTACTTTTCTGTGGTTCTAGACTATGAATACATATGCTATGCAGAATTAAAAAAATATATATATATACATATACACACACACACACACACACATATATATATATACACATATATATTTCGTCAGGAAAGCAAGTATTGGTTTGGGCTATTGACTAGTTTATAGAAAAGTATATAATATAGAAGTCATTTTTCTAAAGACATTTACTAATAATAGTATATTTGTATATTTAGTTCTTTAGTCTAATATTGATCCAATAAGTTAGTCATTGACTAGGGCTTAGAAGAACTTTTTAATAGGCATTTTCATTATAATAAGATTTGGAATCTCTAATCGTTAGGATCTGTTTGTATAATCTCAGATCGGGCAAGGTTCTGGCAGTATTATTTTTAATTGCTTATGTAGAGAAAAGTGGCTGTTTAGACACTCCAGCTTCTATTGAATAATAACCAGGTACACGTAATTCACACTAAATGTTAAATATTCTGGGGGAGTGATTCCTGGGTAGTGGGACAGTCACTTTAGTAGAGTTCAGAAAATTTCCAGTTTACTCACACTTCCGTTAATGATATAGGGAGAGCCAATTGATATCATTCAAGAAAGGAAGGAAAATAATAGTTAATATACTGTGCACTTGCAGGCAGTTTTATACATATTGTCTCATTTAATCCTCACAACAACCTTTCAGGGTAACTACCTTGATAATGGTATTATCTCCATTTTGCAGGTGAGGAAAGTGAGGCTCAGAGAGATTAAGTAACTTGCCCAGAGTAACCCAGCCAGTATGTAACAAAGCTGGGATTTGAATCCAAGTTTGTCAGACTCCAAAGCCCATGCTCTTTCCAGTACTTCACACTGCAGCAGGTAAGTATGATACTTGGCCCTGTGCTTAACTTATTTAGGGCACCCCAAACTTGACTGTTTCCATCACCTCACAATCCAACTCTTAGCCAGACTCCTGTTAGAAGAACATGTGATGGGCCGAGATTAGTCCTTGCACGTCCTGATTGCAGTGGTACTTATCAGTTCTTTCTGGACATTGCAATTATTACTCTTCTATGAAGAGGAATGTGCATCTTTGCTTTCAAAATATGGTTTCCTTTCTTGTAGTACAGCAGCAAAATTCATCCCAGGAGTTCGCCAGCAGGCGTATTCAACTGTATCGTCTAAAGCATCCATCATTCATACTCTAGGACCTAAGGCTCTGTATCCAAGGGACTGTAGGAAGTCATTATGCTTTTTTTGTAGGGAATGGCTGTTCCATTCCTTCACCTGCTTATATGGTAAAATTGTTGTGAGGGTGGAATGAGATAATAGATGTTAAACTATATGAAGTACTATATAGTAATCCCTTACCTTTCCAACAGTGCCATCTAAGTAGAGATTCTTCTTTTGTGAAACTAGTACAGGTATACACATAATTACTTCTATAAATCTTTTCAGTTAGCAGAGAGAATTTTGAGTGAGGGTGCTTAAACAGTAAATTATTCCAATTTGAGATATAGGGTTAGCTATTAACATTAAAAAAGATATTTTGTATTTTAGTGTGCATATTAGAACAAGGCGAAGTTAATTTTTAAGAATCTTGTTGGAAATTCTGAAAAGTTATAATAAATAAGGCAAATGAATACTAATTGTACAATATCAATTATCTAGGTCATTGTTTTTTTTTGATTTGTCATGTTATCTTCATTGGTTTATTTTAGTGGTCTTTTGAGAGATATTTGTAAGGCCTTTCATGACTTTGGTTCCCTAGTCTTGCTTTTTCCCTAAGGTCTTAAATACATCATTCACCCATAAGGTTCATTTTTACTAAAGGCTTACTACATAGGCTGAAGATAAATAAAGCATTGAGCCACAGAAGAGAGCAAAAGAGGCAAAAATCCCTGACCTCATGCAACTTATGTTTCAGTTGAGGGAGCTAGACTGCAAATAATATACAGTTGACCCTTGACGACAAGGGTTTGAACTGCGTGGGTAGACCTATGTGCAGATTTTTTTCAATATAGTACCTGTATTTTCATTTTACAGACTTTTAAATTAAGTGTGGGGATAAGTTTGTGTTCAATTAGAGATCACAATATGTGGAATCATAAGAACTAGGATTTGAGTCAATTCTATCCAAACTGTTTCCGCTTCCTGCCTTTGGGTGGAGTCAGTTTCTTTGTTTTTGAGGCACAGATAGCAGTGCGTGGATTTTCTGTGGAAGGGGTCGGTGCCACTAACCTCCCTTTGTTCAGGGGTTAGCTGTAAGTAAATCATGTTAATTGGTAAGAAAACAATGAGAGAAAATGAAGAGAAGGGAGGCTGCAGTTTTAAACAGGTGATGAGGGAAGGCCTCGTTGAGAAGTTGCATCTGGACAACAGCAGTCCAACAGAGATGAGGGAGGGAGCCATATAGTTAACCAGAGTATGAGCATGCCATCTGGTACTAAGGCCCTGAGGTGGAAATGTGTAGCAACAGCAGCAAGTAACAGAATCCTTTGGGGAGGGTGAGGAGAGTGCCTTATAGTCCATTCTGAGGACTTTACCTCTGCGTGAAATGGGAAGTCGTTGAGTTTTTGAACGGAATTTTGATACCAGAGTTTTCAGAAACACATCCTTGGAAATTGCAGGGGAAACACTGTATTAATAAAAGGTATTATTAGATATTATTCCCCTACTGAAGTGTAGGTTTTTGTAATCAGGCAAATATATTTTAAAATATGCTACCAATAAGTACTTACGTAGGAAAACTGTATTGGAAAACTTCACAGAATTTTTTTAATTTTTAATTTAAAAGAGCCAGTCACCATGGGAAGATAAGAGTTAACTGGTGTAGCTTTTTAAAATGGAGGATGAAAAAATAAATAAATAAAATGGAGGATGATCTGTTTATGACATGATCTCTAAAAAAGCTAATTGTGGTGTCATAATTAGGATTATATTACTCCTGGTAATGCAGTGGTAAAGGAGATAAACTGAAACACCTATCAGATAACTGAATCTTATCTCTTACCTGAAGAATATTTACTTATGTGATAATAATTTGGTATAATGAGTATGGGATAAGAAGTTAAAAGTTCTGGATTTTTTCTACGAAGTGGTTGCTCTTCCAGCTTACGTAACCATGTAATTGTAAAAAACAGAAAATTATGGTAAGTACATTTTTTCAGTTGCATCAGGTATTTCTAGTCAGCAGTCTGGCAGGCTTGAGACCCAGGAAGAGCTGATTTTGAGTCTGAAGGCAGAAGAAAGCCTATGTCCCAGTTAGAAGGCAGTCAGGCAGAGGAATTCCTAGATTCACTTTATTTTGCTGCTATTCATGTGCCTTGTCTTGCTAGCTAGTAGGTAAGCAACTTGAGGGCAGGAAATACCAGTCATATTTGCTTGCTTACCATCCATGAGTCCTTGCATCCTGACTTACGTGTAATAGGTACATCTACCTATTTTATAAAAACTGTAACATTTTAGAGCTGGAAGGGGCCTTAGAGGTTATCTTGTTTTAGAGTTGGGGAATCAAGAACAGCTTTTTAATAATACACCTCTTTCCTTAGTTTTTAGAAGAATGAAATGAGATAATGCAGTGTGCATGAAAAGTTAAGTGATTTACTAATTTTAAAACTTTTTTTTTTTCACTTAGAACATAAATCAAAATAGTTGTCCTTTAATTAGGCAATATTCCTGGGTGGAGATTTCACCTTTTTCTTTCTTTGTCTTTCTCACCCTTTTTTTCATTTAAAAATGTACATAACACATCAGTCAGTTATTCATATTTACAAGTATGTCCAAAATGAATACATTTAATTTGAGATGTCATCATTTCTTCAAAGCATATTATCTGACATGTTAAATTTGCTGATTCATACAGAATATTCCAGTTAGGTATTCAAATATAAGCCATCATAACCAAGTGGTAGCTTCAGCTTCTGGACCTGACAGTATTGAAGATGTAGGTTGAAGCTATAGAAGTTGAAGTTACAGTATCTAAACACGAGAGTACTTTAATTTGAACTAACTCTTCTTTAGAAGTCTTCAGTTATGGGAACTGGTGTTGATTGTTTATAGATGTTTTAATTTTTTTCCTTCCTAGATTTCTTGTAATCACGTCTTAAAGTCTTCAGGATGGTGCTAGCAGACCTTGGAAGAAAAATAACATCAGCATTACGCTCATTGAGCAATGCCACCATCATCAATGAAGAGGTATGTAAAATATGTAAAATATATGTGATTGTACATCATCACTAGCATTGGAGGTGGATGATTAGTAATCTCTATGTAAATACCAGTAGATAAAACCCAGAAATGGATACACTAGATAGCGTTTTTTATTGAGAAATCAACTGTCTTAATTTCAACTTTCAGTAATGAATTACCCCCCAAAAAACAAAACAAAAACCACCTTAACTTACATGTAATAATGATGTACCTTTTATATTTTGAAAATGGCTTAGACCTGGAAATATACTTTTGCTTTCTCTCTTGACATAGGCCTAAAACTTTAGTATCCTGCTTCTTGACTAGGCATGCATGTATCTGACCTTTTCTCTTTGACTTTTATTTAGCATTCTTATAAAAGGCTAGTATTTCCATCTTGGCTACAGTGATTCACTTCCTCTGTAATCCTCATTCGTTTTGGAAATTTTGTAAGCTGACTCCTTATATGGTATCTGAAATACTTTTCCTCCAGGTTTTATTATTTTAAGTTTAAGGTATTTCTTTCTCCCATTGTTTTCTCCACACATTGTATCTTAATGGTTTGTCAACTGAAAAAAGAAGATTATAGTATACTTTATATTTTGTGGTACCAATGGGAAAGTACTGAATTTGGTTTTAGAAGACCTTGTTTAGCATCCCACTAAACAAATGGTAGAGATTTGAGCAAGTCAGCTTCAGATTTCTTAATGTATAAAATGAGAAAATAGCATTTACCTTTCAAGATGATTTTAAGGATCAAATGAAATAATAGATAAAAAGTACTTTCTAACTTGGAGGTTTAAAAAAATTCTAAGATAGAATTTGATATCAACACTTTAATAAGCTAATGGAATTAAATAATTTGGGGACCATCTTTGAGCTCGGCTAGTCCAGCCTCTCATTTAACAGCAACGGAAAGTCAAGTTTCACATGTTTATTTATTGGAAGAAACAGGATTAGAACCTTTTTTCTAATTCCTATTTTTATAATTTTCCTAATTCCAAGGCTTTTTCTAATAATTATTATTAAGTAATAAACCATAATTTAAACCATTGTTTAGCCTTTGAAATTCTGAACAAATAAAACAACAGCTTTCCAAACAGTTTTCCCTGTTGCATAACCCTTATGGTGTTTGTGTTTATGGTAGGAAAATAAGAAAGAGACCAGGGAGAAGAGGTTGGTGGGAAGTAAAATAACAGATGTTGCTTGAATTGGCAGTTGTTTCTCTGTTCTTGGTACTTGCTACTAGGGAATTAACAAGGAGAAATCCCTCTAATGAGAGATCAGTTCCATTTTTATCAATCCCTTTAATGAGGGATAGAGAAATCTGATAAGCCGCTGTATGACATATGACTGAAGTTGATGATGAGAATTCATTCAAGAAGTAATTGAGGGGCTTCCCTGGTGGCGCAGTGGTTGAGAGTCCGCCTGCCGATGCAGGGGACACGGGTTCGTGCCCCGGTCCAGGAAGATCCCACATGCCGCGGAGAGGCTGGGCCCGTGAGCCATGGCCGCTGAGCCTGTGCGTCTGGAGCCTGTGCTCTGCAACAGGAGAGGCCATAGCAGTGAGAGGCCCGCGTACCACAAAAAACAAAAAAGAAGTAATTGAGGGCCTACATTTTTGCAAACATTTTTGCTGGCACCAGGGCTATAGCAGTAAACAAAGTAGACTAAAATTCCCATTCTCACGGAGCTTACATTCTAATCTGTAAACAGTTATTTCCATGAGCAGCTAAGGGCTCATCTTTTTTAGAGATTTTATAGCTTGTGACCATTTAACCACAGTGCCTTGCACCTCAACAAATATGTGATGATAGTGAGTTATTAATGGAGGATAGTTTCCTTTTCAACTTTGTTCCTCTGCTCTGAGTGGAAGTAGTAAGGCTGCTAGGTCAGACTGAGTCATTTTCTTTTGTCACATTTTCCTCCATGATAGTCCAGTTAAGCAGATGTTGTGAATATACAGCGCTGCATATCAGCAACAGGAATTCAATGACATAGAAAACTTCAATGGCAACATGTATTGTGTAGTAACTTTTTGGCTTGTATATCGTCTTTCCTATTATTACTTTAACGTAGGGATAAAATTGTGACGGTTAATACCTGGTTGAATAAAACAAAGTGGAATGTCTTTTGTTTTGGCCGTGCTGCATGGCTTGTGGGATCTTAGTTCCCCTACCAAGGATCGAACCCCTGCCCCCTGCAGTGGAAGCTCAGAGTCCTAACCACTGGACCATCAGGGAATTCCCTGAAATGTCTTATTTTGACAAAATGACTAGACATTTAGTAAGATTCTCTCTCGAAGACTAACTGAAAACCTTTCCGCCCCCCAATGGTATAGTATTGTTTTTATTAATATTAAGTTATGGTAGTATATGATGACTGGTCAATCATTGTTTTTGTATGGTTTAAATGATACAATGGGCATTTTAAGTTTTTATTTATTTACTTGCAGGTGTTAAATGCTATGCTAAAAGAAGTATGTACAGCATTATTGGAAGCAGATGTTAATATTAAACTAGTGAAGCAACTAAGAGAAAATGTAAAGTAAGTTAAATTAATCAAGTAAAAAACAGGCAAAACTAAACATAGTTTACTGGGATGAGGAGCTAACTAGAAAAGTCTGCCATATTTTGAAATGTTTTTGCTATACAGCACTGGGAAATAACAGAACTCATATGTTGGAAGACTTTGTTTATAGTACATTTCCATTATGATGGTTCAAAGAATAAACTACATGTGGCTTTCATTTAATTATGGATTTCTTTCCATTCTACTACTCCTTTATCTGAATGGATTCAATCGTATACTGTATAGTATTTTAATAGAAAAGCCTGTTAACAATTTAGATGCATCATAGAGAAGTGGTGCCATTTTAATCCTCTTCAGACTAAAGATGACATTAATCAGCCTCCTTTATTATTGGAGAATTATATTCTTTTTTGTCCCCTTTTGGTTTCTCTGTCCATATTTGAATAAAGGAGTAACGTGTGTGGTCTCAGTTATTGTGTTAATTGGGAGGGGCACTGACTGGGACAGGGCACATAGAATAATTGAGGGCATCTCGATTAGCTGCCTGAATCCTAGCCCTTGTCGTGCTCAGGCCATCCCTCCTTTTCATATTGTCAGACTGGGTACTAAATAGAGAACTACTAGCATTTAAGCATTTACACTACAGGAAGTAGTCTTATTTTCTGCTAGGTGTAAACATGTATAAATTCTGTATGCTGCCAGAAAAATAAAATCAATACTTTACATTAATATGAGGACAAATTAATATTTGGACTTTCAAAAGAAAGCCTTGAAAAACTAACAAAAGTCTTACATCTAACATTTCATGGTAAATTCTTTATGGTATGGACTTATGACTCTGTAGTAATTGTATGCATGTTAATTAGAATACTATTAATATGAATGATTGAATATTCTTACATTCTTTGGGGCAAAAGCTAATTTTCTTTTTAGAGTGCCTTAACTGACTTTTCCCCCTTCTACCCTCAAAAACCATCATCATGAAGGTCTGCAATTGATCTTGAAGAGATGGCATCTGGTCTTAACAAAAGAAAAATGATTCAGCACGCAGTATTTAAAGAACTTGTGAAGGTAAAAGTATATCTAGCTTGTGCTGTGATTTTCTGTAGACTCACTACATTAGCACTGCAAACAGTAATACTATTTCAGAATACTTTTTTGTGTTTTTATAGAATATTTATCTGTATTAAAAATATTAATTGAAGGATTATTAACTTTTCTGAAGTGGCTTATTTTTATCATAGGCTTTCCTGAATACAAAATTCTGAGTACAGGTATGAAGGCCAGTATTACTCCTGCAAAAAAATGCCAAAGCCAAGTTACAAAAAGTAAAACTTCACTATATATTAATTGATGGAAGAGCCTCTCTGAGTTTATCCTCTTTTAATATCAAGTTTTGCCTATTGAGTGTCTTGCTTTTGTACAGAAAGTCACTCTTGGCAAGAGTTCTTTTCTACACTTTCATTGTGTCAAAAAGTCCCTTTGAAAAGATCAAATATCCCTATTCTTGCCTAGATTTTAAGCAATTTTGAATTAGTGAAGTTTTATTTTGCAAGTTGTAAATATAGCCTATTGCCCTGTTCACCTTAGAATTGATATTGCTGCTGCTGTTGTGAAAATTATGATGAGAGTCTTAGAGCTTTAGAAAATATGTTTGAGTCCAGTCATAGGGGAAAAAAAGAAAGGAACTAAAAAAAATTTTTTAAGAGCAACAGGTATCTGCTAGTGGTCTCGAGTATTTTTCCCTATGTTGTGTGAATAGTTTCACTTAACTCCTTTGGTTCTAGCAGAGCTGATTGGTACTTTGAAAAAGTCTAGTACCTTGGATGGTTGTGTCATTTCAGTTTAGTCCTGTAGACTAATTAATTAAGTCTAATTAATTAGTCTACAGGACTTAATTAACTAATTAAGTCCTGTAGACTAATTAGTCCTGTAGACTAATTAACTTTCCCTCGTGGCGCAGTGGTTAAGAATCTGCCTGCCGATGCGGGGACACGGGTTTGAGCCCTGGTCTGGGAAGATCCCACCTGCCATGGGGCAGCTAAGCCTGTGAGCCACAACTACTGAGCCTGTGCTTTAGAGCCCACGAGACATAACTACTGAGCCCACATGCCACAACTACTGAAGCCCGCGTGCCTAGAGGCCTGCTCCGCAATGAGGGAAGCCACTGCAATGAGAAGCCCGCGCACCCTAGGGAAGAGTAGCCCCTGATCGCCTCAACTAGAGAAAGCCCGCATGCAGCAACGAAGACCCAGTGCATCCAAAAATAAATAAATATATTTATTAAAAAAAAAAAAAAAGAAATTCAGAACCTAAAAGAGGTCAGGAAATTTATCCAGTTTTCCTTCTCAGTTTGCAGTTGAGAAAAGTAAGACAGTTAGTGGTAGACCCAGGTCTGATCTCCAAACTCCTCACAATATTTCCAGATTGTTTTTCTTCTAACACCAGAGGTCAGCACAGGGTGAGTGAACATTTTTATTTTTAGGGGTTGGAATCTTTCGGCAATTCTGGAGCATCAGGTGCTTTGTTAAGATGGCTTTACGGAGTACCTACTTTATTCTAGGCAGTATGCCAAATACTGCTGATAACAAAGATGAAAAAGACTGGGCCTTATACTCAGAAGCTCATGGTCTAGGACAGTGGTGTAAAAAGCAAGGCCAAAACTGTTTTCATAATAACACTAAGACATTATTTGCGTTTTTTCAGCCTTCTTTACTGCAAAAGCAATGGTGGGTGAAACCACTGGGTAAAACTCCCTAGCATGAATCAAGGCAGTGGTACCAAACTATACTAGTAGTCATTGAACTCCTTCCTCCCACACACTTGCAGTGAAGGAAAAAAAAAAGCCAGTTTCATTTAAGAATGTCTTTGATGGAGCAGTAGAGGTTATTAGTAGTATTAAATCTTGACCCTTGAATACACATGTGTTTATAAGATTTTGTGTGATGAAATGGGAAGTATGCTGAAAGCCCTGTTGCTGTGTACTGAAATTTGATGGTTGTCTTGAGGAAAGCAAATGTGTAATTGTTTGATTGCAAGCTGAGCTAGCCACTTCTTTCATAGAATGCCATTTTTACATGAATGAACAACAGACATAATCTGTGGTTATTTACACTTGGGCCTTTGGCAGATATTTTCTCCAAAGTAAATAAAGTGAGCTTGTCACTTTAAGGCAAATAACTAACGGTATTGTAGCCAGTAATGAAATTCCAGCTTTCTGGTGAAAACTAGAAGCTTGAATCTCCACCATGAGTGTCACAGTGTCCCAATATTTAACTTTTCTAGTGAGATCATTATTGATATTAATAAATAAAATGTTTTGATGTTGTATAGTGAAATGTGTCAACAATGGAAGAGCTGCCTGAGTGAACCAATATTCTCTAAGTGATTAATGTATGATGTTACAAAAGCATGCACCAGGATAAGATCGATTCAAAGTCCAAGATAGAATAACAGATTTTAATGTAATATAGAGTATGAAAGTTCAGTACTGCTGTTCTAGGATGTAGGAGGAAGATAAGATATATTTATTTTAAAAAATCATTATTCAATAAAACTTATAGGTTGCAAATAGTAGGTTCATAGAGAGCTGAGTGATTCTGCCATGGGATATAGAGAATGGAGGTGAATATGGGGCCGCATTAGTGTTCTGAAAGGATCTAGGAGGAAGGGCAGTGGATTTATGTTTAAGATAGATTTTGTTCATTTCAACCCTGTGCCTGGGAGGGAGATCACAAAATGTGTTTTCTTTTCCTCCCTTTTCTACCACATGGCTTTCCTTGAAATTCACGTATAATATGGATTATGTAACCTTTATGGTATCATCTAGCATGGGCTCAGCAAATTTCTCTTAAGAACAAATAGTTTTGGCTTTGTGGGTCATATGGTCTCTGTTGCAACTACTCAGGTCTGGTGTTATAGCACAAAAGCAGTAAATGAATGGGCATGTCTGTGTTCTATTAAAACTTTATTTACACATAGTTGTAAATATGGTCTATGTCATCTGGTCCTAGGACATTAACTACTATTATGGTTTTATTATCATATGGAGATACAGGTTTCAAGCTCCGAACAACTGACTTGGAACTGAATTATTTTTTTAAATGAACTTTAAAAATGCCTCATGCTTGTTTATTTGGGGACTGTCCATATATGTATGAATGCCTTAATTTTCCACTGATTGTCATTATAAAATTAGTGATTATTTTTTACTAACACTTTAAATATAATAACTTTATAGAACAGTACATCTTTGGCATTGGAGAATTTAATATTTGACTGACCTGGAAAGTCTTTCACATGTAATTTGTAATTTTGTTCATATATAAACATTTGTCAAATTGAACATGAAGATAGGTACTGTCCCAATATGGTAGCCATTGGCCACATGTGGTTATTGAGCACTTGTAATGTGGCTAGTCCAAATTGAGATGTGCTGTAAGTAGGAGATACATGTCAAGTTTTAAGACCTAGCATGGCAAAAGGGAATATAAAATATTTTATTAATTTTTAAATATAGATTACATGTTGAATTATAATATTTTAGATATATTGAGTTAAATAAAATATTAATATCACTTGTTTTTACTTTTTTTAATGTCACTACTAGAAATTTAAAAATTCATATGTGGCCTGCACATATATTTTATATTTCTGCAGTGCTGTTGTAGATTGCTCCTTTGGCTCAAACTTGGTCTCACATTCACACTCCAGCTTGTTCTAAAAAATATTTTGAGATCCTTACCTCTGAATTGGTTTGGGCTTGCTTATGACTTCACAGTGTACTATTTTAAATTTTTAAATTTCACTACGTGTGTACAAAGGGAAATAGAGTTGTATTAGAATGGTAGGATTATGGTTGCCGCTTATATTTAAATGTCTATAAATTACTTTTTCAAGTTAAAAGTTGTGGGGAGAGGGGTTTTGAATGTAAGCATAGGTTAACCTGATTTTATTTTTATTTTTGTTTTTGGTTTGTAGCTTGTAGACCCTGGAGTTAAAGCATGGACACCCACTAAAGGAAAACAGAATGTGATCATGTTTGTTGGATTGCAAGGGAGTGGTAAAACAACAACATGTTCAAAGGTAAATTATACTTAATTAAAAAAAACAAAGTCATGGAGAAGATATGTTTGTATAAATCAAGTTTTACGTTAAAGTCAGGATTTGTAGTATTGTTCCTTTAAAATTTTGTGTTGTTTGATGTATCTATTATGTTTTTGTAATAGCTCTTTGTAGGATAAGAGCAAAGAATCCCATAGTCTTTCTCGTGATAGCTTTTTGCAAGAATGGTAGACTTCTATATAACTATGCTGTTTCTTTTACCAAAAAGACTGTTCCTGTCCTTTAAGGAGATGAGGATATGATTTTTGGAGAAGTGAACGTGGAAAGTTTACCTTATCTCCTATGGCTCAAGACTCCCTTTTCACAATGTCTCACCCAGTGTAATACATATGAATCTTCATTTTGCATATCTTTTTGCTAATTTTAAATTCATTATACCACCCCTTCCTCCATAATTGGGTAACTCAACTTTGTTACCAGATTTTACTCCACAAGCCTCAACTTTGTATAGTTTAGAAAGAAAAAAAGAGGAAAGGATTATTTCTTAGAGGGTTATGTTATTGTTTGTTTTTAATTAACGTTAATAACATTTTTTACCATGATCATTTGTTGCTTCATCATTTTATATCCTTCGAATGTGGCTGTATGGCACTTAGAATTTAAACTCTTTAGGAAATTTTCTATACTCAGAATTTAATAATATTACTTTTAGGAGAATATGAGCAGTTTTATTTTACTCCTTAAGTAAATAACAAGTGTAAATAGAAACAATTACATGTATAATAAATTTGTATTTATTGAGTTTTAAAATCTTCCTTTCCCAGTTAGCATATTACTACCAGAGGAAAGGTTGGAAGACCTGTTTGATATGTGCAGACACATTCAGAGCAGGTATTGTGTTCAAATTTGAAAATTGTTTCTAAAATTTGTATTTTCAAGTTTGAGGACTCATTAACTCTATTTCATAGGGGCTTTTGACCAACTAAAACAGAATGCAACCAAAGCAAGAATTCCATTCTATGGAAGGTGGGTTCCAGTTTTTATTTTTATACTCATGTGTCTCACCTTATCTGTCTGACTTTATTTAATGCTATCTGGTCACATTTTAATATATACTTATAAGCTTAAATCCTTTCTGGAACAAAGTAGAGGTATAATTAATACATTGTTATCTTTTATTATTGTAACATGACTCTTCTGACCCAGCCTGATAGATCAGAGCAGATGTTGTTTAGTTTATAATTCTGCCTGTACTTATCATCCTGCCTTGCATGCTTTCCAGCATCCTTCTGCTTCTATTCCAGTTGTTTAAGACCTATCTGAAGCATTCCTCCATTCAACACACTGGTGAATTCCATATTGTCTGGTTCTTTAGTACATCATCTTTGAAAGTTTGTGTTGATCATCCTAAAATGCTTTGTGATCTTGAGTTATCTCAGAGATTCTGATCGTTGCTATCCTTCATTTGCTACATTACTGTTCAATTAGGTGGTTTGTATATGTTAAAATGACTAATTAAAAGAATCGAGTCGAGATTGAATTTAGAAGGACCTATTTGAGGGAATAGCATTTCTCTTAATGTTATTAATATCAATATAAAAAGATTATTAATATAGAAAGCTTAAAGAAGCTAAAATTTGAGGTAATTAAATGAATGATATCATTTTGTTGGTCTTTATTTTCTACTTTTTGGCTGGCCAAGAAAACTGGTGAACTTTAGCTATGGTATGTTCTTTATTTAAATTCTTTTTCTTTTAGTGTGGTTTTTTTGTTTTGTTTTGGTTTGGTTTTGGCCATGCCACATGGCATGCGGGATCTTACTACTTCTCTGACCAGGGATTGAACCTGGGCCCTTGACAGTGAAAGCGTGGAGTCCTAACCACTGGACCACCAAGGAATTCCCTCTTTTAGTTATTTTTTTATTTTTTATTTTTTGCGGTACGTGGGCCTCTCACTGTTGTGGCCTCTCCCGTTGCGGAGCACAGGCTCTGGACGCGCAGGCACAGCGGCCATGGCTCACAGGCCCAGCCACTCCGCGGCATGTGGGATCTTCCTGGACCGGGGCACGAACCCATGTCCCCTTCGTCGGCAGGTGGACTCTCAGCCACTGCGCCACCAGGGAAGCCCTTTTAGTTATTTTCTTATGATAATTTCTAGCAAGTAGATTAAAGAATAATGTTAGGAATTTTATTTTTAGGATAAGAACTTTTTCTTACATAGATTTAAAAATCAAGGGATAATAAACAGCTGTACCTTTAGGGTTCACAATTTGCAAATGATATAATTTAGCTGATAATTACTTGAACTATCAGCCAAAGCCAGAGCATTGATTTTTAACCAGTATTCTCAGTACCGTTTATTAAATAATCTCTCCTTTGCTTATGTAAACTTAAATAAGATACTACGTATATGGAGTAAAGTATTAGCAGTCATTGTTTCCTCCAGGAGAGATGAAGTAAATGGGGCTGGGGGGAGGACTTGAACTGTATCTCCAATATTAAATTTACATATTAGCATTTATTGGGGGGGTGGTAGATATGTTTGTTATAGTATCATTTGTTCTTTTTTTAAAAAACACTATTTTAATTAAAAATTTTAAAGAAGTGAAAGCACTAGCAGTTTCACTTCCCAATTATCAGCTTGTAGCATGTCCATCTGTGCTTTTTTCAGTGTCTATATAAACAAATACACAGACATACATAGATAATTTTTAACTGAAATGGACTCTTATGTGCTTTGTACCTTGATTGCTTTGGTAGTGGTTATATGGGTTGTGTAAATTTGTCAAAGCTCGTTAAAATGAACAATAAAAATAGTGCATTTTATTGTATGTAAACATACCACTATACAGTTGATTAAAAATGGGATCTTACGACAAGGTAGTTATTACTCTTGGGAAGGAGTGAGGTGCTAATTATGTTGTTTTCTTGATCTGGGTGTGTTTGCTTTGTGAAAATTCAACAAGTTTATAATTGTACAGCTTTTCCACATATATGTTATACTTCATTAAAATGTTTACTTAAAAAATGGGATCTTAATAATTCTGGGCAATATACTGTTTAAGATAATTCTTTTTTATGACATCATTGTATTCCATTAATCAATGCCCTTATGAACATCTTTGATAATATTTCTTTCTACATTTGTAAGTTTTATTTTAATAGTATTTTTATCTTTTTTTTTTTTAATTTGCATGCATTGGGTCTTCGTTGCTGCACACGGACTTTCTCTAGTTGAGGCTATTGGGGGCTACTCTTCGTTGTGGTGTGAGGGCTTTTCATTGCAGTGTGCGGGCTTTTCATTGTGGTGGCTTCTCTTGTTGTGGAGCATGGGCTCTAGGCACATGGGCTTCAGTAGATGTGGTTCGTGGGCTCTAGAGCGCAGGCTAAGTAGTTGTGGCACACAGGCTTAGTTGCTCTGTGGCATGTGGGATCTTCCTGGACCAGGGATAGAACCCATGCCCCCTGCATTGGCAGGTGGATTCTCAGCCACTGTGCCACCAGGGAAGTCCTTCTTAATCATATTTTAAAATAGCTGGTAATGCTAATTTTTGTCTTCTTTTTCAACATTTATTGCTTCTTTCACCTGCTTATTTTCCTGGGAAAATTTTGGATTTTTTTTAATCAAGTTCTAGAAAGAAAAATCTCCCTAAAATTGTGATTAGAACTACCGTGAATCCAATTAATTGAGGGGAGAACTGACATCTTTACTATACATGTATAGTTCCATTCAGGAACCTGCTATGTCTTTTTTGTTAAAAAAAATTGCCCTTAAGTATAATAGTTTTCTTCATTTAAGGCTCACATATATTCTTTTTTTTTTTTTTAACATCTTTATTGGACTATAATTGCTTTACAATGTTGTGTTGGTTTATGCTGTATAACAAAGTGAATCATCACATATATTCTTATTAAGTGTATTTCTACTTGATTTTTGTTGTTAATTTAGGGGGAAACTTTTTTTTTTTTTGCGGTATGCGGGCCTCTCACTGTTGTGGCCTCTCCCGTTACGGAGTACAGGCTCCGGACGCACAGGCTCAGCGGCCATGGCTCACGGGCCCAGCCCCTCCGCGGCATGTGGGATCTTCCCGGACCGGGGCACAAACCTATGTCCCCTGCATCGGCAGGCTGACTCTCAACCACTGCGCCACTAGGGAAGCCCTACTTTTAGTTTTTTGAGAAACCTCCATACTGTTTTCCACAGCGGCTGCACCAATTCACATTCTTACCAACAGTGTACAAGGATTCGCTTCTCTCCTCGCCAACATTTGTCTTTTGTATTCTTTTTGATGACAGCCATCCTTTTGTAAGCATTTTATAAAATAATTAAATGTTCTTGTAAAACATGACTTTTAAGTTATGTAGCATTCTATCAGATGGCTATGCTATCATTTATTAAATAAATGCCCTACTGTTGGCCATTTAAGGTTTTCCAACTTCTTGGTCTTAAAAATATAGCCAAAATGAATAGTACGTAATGTTGTTTCTGTGAAATTGTTATGACATACTCCTACAAGTTGAAATTGGATCAAACGGTCTGATCATTTTGGCTTTTGGTTTTTAAAAGGAAAATGTCTCAAAAGTTTAATTTCATTCCTATTTTACTACACTTTCACAATCCTCAAAACTGTATTTAATTTGGGACTTCCACTGGCTAAGACTCTGAGCTCCCAACACAAGGCGCCTGGGTTCGATCCCTGGTCAAGGAACTGGATCTCACATGCATGCCATAATGAAGAGTTCACATGCCACAACTAAGAAGTCAGCATGCCAAAACTAAGAGTCCACATGCCACAACTAAAAGATCCTGCACACCACAACGAAGATCCTGTGTGCCACAACTAAGACCCAGCACAGCCAAAATAAAAAAAATAAATATTAAAAACAAAAAAACCAAAACTATTCAACTTGAAAATCAAGAAACGGATCTCATTTTAATTTGGCTTCTTTTGATTATTGGCAACTTTTGATACAGTTCAATACTGTCAAATGAAAAAAACATATAATGTTAACAAAAAGTTTCCCCCTGGGCTTCCCTGGTGGCACAGTGGTTGAGAGTCTGCCTGCTGATGCAGGGGACATGGGTTCGTGCCCCCATCCGGGAAGATCCCACATGCTGCGGAGCAGCTGGGCCCATGAGCCGTGGCCGCTGAGCCACGTGAGAGGCCCACATGAGAGGCCCACGTACTGAAAACAAAACAAAACAAAAAAAACTAAAAGTAGAACTACCATATGACCCAGAAGTTCCACTCCTGGGTATACATTCGAAAAAAAACCCCACTAATTCGAAAAGATACATGTACCCCAGTGTTCATAGCAGCATTATTTATAATTGCCAAGATATATCCCCAAATACAGTAAGTTAAACAAAATGAGAAGACAGAGAAATATGCAGCAGATGAAGGAGCAAGGTAAAAACCCACCAGACCTAACAAATGAAGAGGAAATAGACAGACTATCTGAAAAAGAATTCAGAGTAATGATAGTAAAGATGATCCAAAATCTTGGAAACAGAATGGAGAAAATACAAGAAACGTTTAACAAGGACCTAGAAGAACTAAAGAGCAAACAATGATGAACAACACAATAAATGAAGTTAAAAATTCTCCAGAAGGAATCAATAGCAGAATACTGAGGCAGAAGAACGAATAAGTGACTTGGAAGATAAAATAGTGGAAATAACTTCCATAGAGCAGAATAAAGAAAAAAAAATGAAAAGAATTCAGGACAGTCTCAGAGACCTCTGGGACAACATTAAACACAACAACATTCGAATTATTGGGGTCCCAAAAGAAGAAGAGAAAAAGAAAGGGACTGAGAAAATATTTGAAGAGATTATAGTTGAAAACTTCCCTAACATGGGAAATTAGTCAATCAAGTCCAGGAAGTGCAGAGAGTCCCATACAGAATGAACCCAAGGAGAAACACACAAAGACACATATTAATCAAACTATCAAAAATTAAATACAAAGAAAAAATATTAAAAGCAGCAAGGGAGGGGCTTCCCTGATGGCGCAGTGGTTGAGA